TTTGGTTGTCTAAATGATTATATATTCCTGAGTGTGTTTGTGTACATCTCCCCACCCCACCCCCAAAAAACAAGAAAACCAGAGGGAATGGAAGCAAATACTGTTGAAGATTCATGGAGGAGATTATAATCATTGCAATGAAATGATCGAGTAAATCCAGTGTTCTCCCATGTAAACTATCACTCAGTTCACAATTTAAAGACAAAACAACTCTATGTGGCCATTCCAGGCTGAGCTAGTTCATTGTTGATGTTGGCTATCCCCAAAGGGGAGGTGGGAAACGTGGAGCTGGACACTGCGTCCGTCTGTCCGGTGCTAGAGGATGGGTAGGCCAGGGCTGACGTTAGCAACCCTTGTTTTAGTTTTAGATCTACGAGTGACAAAGGGCTGCGTCCACCATGCGGCCTCAGTCTTGGCAGAAGACCCTATTTTGTGAGGGCCCCATTGATTTTTTTTAATCTAGAAAATGCCAAGGTCTTGGAAAACATGCTCACCATCTCCGTGTTTACCACTACTATTAATTATAGCAGCCAGTCCTAGTCTTTGTTTACTTTTTCCCTTGGGGTGCAGGAGAAATAATGTGGTTTGGGAGGGAGCCTGGTGGAAGGGGTGGGGGGAGTGTCAGTGATGGGAGGGAGAACAAAGTGAAAAGGACAACTGAGAAAAGCCTGTTGGTTGGCCAGCAGGCAGGCTGCAAGGTGAATGACCTTTTCAGGAAGAGAGCGGGATCTCCGGTCTGATCCTTGGCCAGTGGCAGGCCATGAGTCATCGTCAACAGCACCCCTCCAGCATGGCCACGGTCATGCATGAGTTCCTGGAACAGCTACTTCTGCCTGTTGAAAGTAACCTCAAGTTACCCTAACCCAACTGGCCCGCCTGCCTCCTAGAGCCCCCAGGTGAAAGATGTTAACAATAGCTGAATTCTAGAAATGTCTTTTGCCATTGGGCCTCAAGCACCAAGTGTGGCATTGAGAAAAGAATGTATGCTGAAGAGGAGAGATATGGAGATTCTGGTCCTGGGAAAACGTGAAAAACGGTGCCTTAAATTGCTTCTGACTCTTAGTGACCCTATGCACAGAATAGAACTGCCCCATGGGGCTTTCTGGAGTTGAAATAAACAGGAGAGCTGATTGCCAAGTGCTTTAACCTCTGCATCCCTAGGACTCTTTGCAGCCACCATTGGAAGACCTGTGTGGTCTCTAGCTATCTGCCCTGTTGAAGAAGCCATGGGAACATGTTCTGTAAACTAAGCAATGTACTGTGTCACCCTCAATTCCTTTCCTGACCCTCCTCCCCAGTCACCAGGGCCCTAGGTAAGGGGCAGGCCAGGGTCTCCTGAGACAGGCAGAAACCGGCCAGAACAGAGCCCCCTCATGAATTTTTATACCTTTATTTGTGTGTGTGTTTATAAAGCAGTGTTTTCAAACCTGATTAAAGATCTTTGGTGGTGGGTGATTGACAATTTTATCTGAGGCACAAGTGCAAGGCAAGAAAAAATACAAGCAGGTGAAAGAGTATCCTGGGAAAAGGTGATCACAGCTCCAGGCCCAGGGCACCTCCAGCCTCCCCTTCCCCTGGTTCTCAGCTTCCCTCCTCTCCTGTACAGCCAGAAGAGGGAAAAACTGCAGTCAGTCAGAGCAAAATACTAGGGCTTCAACCAGCGTACATCAAAGCACTTTAATTGAGTTTCCAAAATATATATTTTTGTAAGAAAATGCAATAATTAACTATAGTCCTTACAAACGAGTTTCTCAGTAAATTCCAGTGTACTTCAGACCCCTGTCCACTCAGACACAGGCTCCCCTAGTCTAGTGGGCAGCCTGTGTTTAACATTCGTTGATAATCAGAAGACCCACTTCAAATAGCAGCCCCTGGCCTTTTCTCCATATTGGGTTCTCAGAAGACCTGAGGGATTGGCTCCTGACCTGGATGTGTGCTGCCTGCCCCCACCCCCCATCTTGTTTCCTTTGACCTGGACCCCTGAGCACTGACCCTGCTTGGGGGCAAGATTGTACTGTCATCCTTTGTGCTATTCGAGCGGCTGTGGGGTGTGCGTCATTGGAGTCGATTCCGACTCACAGGGACCCTAAAGACAGAGTCCAAGTGTCCATAGCGTCTCCAAGGCTGTCTTTAGGAGAGCTGACAGCCACATCTTTCTCCCACAGCCGCCAGTGAGTTCGAACTACTGAAGCCAAGAACTTAACCACTGCGCCACCAGGAATTCCTTGTGAGGTACACACAGCACAGGAAACTCTTCCTGTTTCCTAAGTAGCCAGGTCTTGGGGCTCTCGGGGACCTCCCGCTGGGCTCGAGCATCCCATTGCAGGCCCCCATGTGTGGACTCAGGCCTTGGCAAGGTTCCTCATCAAAACCCAAAGCCCTAATCTAGAAGGCAAAAATTCCTCCCCAGGCATCTTACTTCAAAGACTTGTGGTTTATACTAAAACATTTACAGTCCTGTTCAAAAAAAAAAAAGGAAGCTTCACCATCTCTTAGCTAACAAATGCTTTGTTTGTCAAAGTATACTCATGGAAAGCAGTATAGGATGGATTAATGAACATGTGCCCATTGTATTTACATTATCAAAAATCATATATATATATATATATATATATCTCGATTTGAACTTACTTTTCGAGTCTCTCCAGTGTACTGTCAGAAAGGGTAAAGCTCACACGGAGGCTTAAATAAACTTGCTGCTAACTTTCCTCATCCAGAGGGGGCGCTCTTGTGCCTACACTAAACCCGTATTTGTTTTTTATGATGTAGAGAATATTCGGTACCTCCTGCACCTCCACAAGCACAACTCCCTCGGGGCCCCTGAAATAAGGACTTACTAGTCTCCCTCCTGGTGTGGCGCTGTGGGATAAAGCACTAGATTGCAAGGTCGGTTTGAGCAGCAAGGTTGGTGGATCAACCTCACCAGCCACTCCTTGGAAATCCTATACAGGGTCACTATGAGCCAAAACCGACTTGACAGCATTTAACAAGTCTCCCTCTGGTCCAACTTGTCCCAAGCCCTGCTGAGTGCCTGGTGTACCTCTGAGCTCTCCTCAGCCCCAAAGCCAAAGCCCAGGGAAGACGTGGGACAAGGACCTGGGCCATCTTTGACACGTGTCTCAGGGCAGGAGTGACCACAGCAAGGCATTGGCTTCCCTGAAGGCTGGATGCTCAAAAGGAAGGAAGCTTCTGAACCAGCTTCTCAAGGCCACCTTGGACAGAGCCCCTCACCTTAGTACCTCCCCCCTGGATGAGGCATAGTGGCTGGCTAGCTGGCTGCTTGGTAAAATGTGACACAGACTCAGCAGGAACACAGTGTTCTAGTCCTGTTTCCCCTAGGAACATGCCCCCAGAAGAACCATGGCCGGGCAGGGAAGAAGCAAGCAGGCCTCGTGCCAGCTGATGCCTTGATTTCCCCAAAACCGGCCTCATTCTCCATCCTGCCAGCCTCAACATTTGAGGCGATTGGCCTCACACCTCAGCCAAGGAAGGGTCCTAGATCCCCCACAACCCACTTTCTAAAACCCTGAGCTGTCCCAAAGCCTTTTCCATCTGCACCATCGCATCCTCCTGCCTGCCTTTAAGCCCAGGGCGCTCTTTGCCCTGAAACACCATTGTTATCTTCCTAAGCAGTTCTGCTCTGTTTCAGAGTTTCTTACCAGAAATCTATGCCCAGTAACCCAGAGATGAGCCCTGGGCCTAGGAACAACAGGGGGCCTGGCAGAGTTCAAAGTTCCCTGTGGATTCACCCTGCCCAGAAAACAGGTCTGCACAGGCCTCGGCATTAGAATCTACAGGAAAAGAACCAACTGCCCCACAAGGAAGAGAGGAGATGAAGCGGCACATCCTAGCAAGGGTCTGGACAGTGAGAGGTTCAGAGGGGTCGCCCCTGCCACACCGCCGACCCCTGAGGAATGCCCTGCTTTAGTTCTGCCCTGTGGCACCAGAAAACTGGCCTCCATGAGATTGTTGTTGTTGTTGTTAAGTGCCATCAAGTCGGGTCCGACCCATAGCGACCCTGTATAGGGTTTCCGAGGGTGTAAATCTTTACGGGAGTAGAAAGCCTCATCTTTCTCCCACGGAGCGGCTGGTAGTTTCGAACCGCTGACCTTAAGGTTCGCAGCCCGATTCGTAACCACTACGCTACCAGAGCTTTAACCAAAAACCTTCCAACAATTTGAGCTTTGGCCTCTGGCAGTGGAGGGCTGGATTTAAAAACAAACAAGTAAAACTCTCAGCAACTTGCAAGTCCCTGAGTTTCCGGTGAAGAAGCAGAAGAAAGCCTGTCCTCCCTGGCTGTTCTGAGCTGACCATCTGTGAGGCTGGGGGTGCTGGGGAAGGTCTACCCACAGCTTCTGCTCTCCCAGTGGGTCCCAGTGGGTCTTGGAGCTTGGTCTTCACCCCGGCGGCTGAGCAGTGAACGGCAGGACACTGGCTTTAGTAGTGAGCACAGGTTTTAGTCCCGGTTGGAGACTGGCTCCTCTAGGAGTCCTGGGGCTGTAACTAGACAGCGGGCAATTTGCTGTTCTGCTCCAAAGCAGTCGGAGCCCAGTGAGCCCACTCTGCCATTTTCCCTCTGGTGGGTTCCAACGCTGCCCAGAGCAGCTCAGGTGGAGGGGGTGAGTGCGAGTCTTCGTCCTGGCTGGCTCTGTCCCCAAGTGGCTGTGTGACCTTGGAGAGACACTTACCTCTGAAAGCCTCAGTAATCTCTTCCGCAAGCGCAGGGACCCTCAGTATCGCCCCCGCCCCTCTGGTGGCTCTCCCTTCTCATCGCCCGGCAGCAAGCACTGAGCTCAGGCACTATTGGGTTCTTTTACAAGAGGAAACTAGACAGAATGTGATTTGTTCAGCTTGAAAAGGGAAAAATTAAGGCCCTGTGGAGCTTGGGAGGACCCACCCTCCCCAGTCTGTCCCTCCTCCAACGGGAAGGACTTTTCCTCCCTGGTCCAAACGGCACTTCAGGTGGTCAGTCAGGAGCCCGGAGGCGGCCAGCAGCCTGATTAGAGGTGTGTGTCCTCCTCCTCATCTAGGTCATCCTTGGTCAGGTTGTCCAGAGGGACGATCCAGCTGTCCCCCAGCTCCCCATTGAGGTTGACCACCTTCTTCTCCTGCATCTCCGATGAGGTCTCCATCACCTCCAGCGTTGGATTGTCATGGTAACCATTCTCAACCGTCTGCAGCTCCTCAGTCAGGCGTTGCTAGAGGTGGGAGAGGGGTATTATATTGCGGGGTTACTGACCTTAGATGATCTACTTCTACAAAATGAGCCACTGAAAACCAACAGGACACATTTCTACTCTGACACACACAGGGATCGAGGGCCATCCCCAACGGGTGCTAACAACCACCTTGGCTTTAGAGAGCTTTCATATAATCCATGTTTCCTTCAACCCCAGAAACCTAGTTTGGATAATGTGGGCGTTTGTGAGCAATAAATGTGTGGACGTTACAGACGAGCATGCCTGCACCCGGCCTGCCTCATCCTAGATTCCAGCTCACCTCACCTTCAGCTTGGTGGCAAATGGGGAAAGTCAGTAGATATGGACTTTATTCTCCAGAGAACTCCAAAATCTTTCCTCCTTCCTCCATGCTAACCCTTCCTTGGCTCACCAAAATAAGGGGGAAGGAAGAGCTGTCAAAAAACAGCTCCTCCTTGTGGGGTGACTGAGCAAAGCAGCACCCTGCTCAGCAGCCACAGGGCAACAGTCCATGACTGCGCACTGCACTAAGTCACCTGTTTTGGTAACCACAACAACGGTGAAAATTCCCTAAGGCAAGCAAGAGCTTTGTGGTTTAGACAGGCATGCCTGGGCCCACTTCGATCAATGAGTCCTCAAAACAAGGTGCACACTGTACCCATTAGGCAACTGAGGCCCCTGAAGCATAAAGAGACTTGCTGACAGTCTCAGAAACTAAGAGGCAGAGTTGGGCAGAAAGCGCGTCTTTCTAACTCCAATGCACCCTTGTCTCCCATCCAGCAGGTGGCGCCTCTCAGGGACTGTCTGCCTGTCAGGACAAGGCCTTGGCTCAATCCCTGCCCTGTGTCACCTGGCTGAGGAGAGGTGTGCTCACCTGGTCCTTCCTGTGGGAGAGGCGCTGGTGGCAGCAGCCGTACAGGGCGGCGACCAGGAGCAGGAAAGAGGCCATGCAGACAATGGTGATGATGAGGGGCATGCTGAACCGATCGACTTCAACCACAGGGGGCCCTTGGTCTCCAAGTTGCATGTGACTGACCCCCACCTGGCCAGGAAGGACAAAGGCATGTTCTAGGTCACCTCCCTCTGCACGCCTAGCCCTTTACAGGCGCTTCAGCATTGGGTTTGTGGGTGCCTATTCCACTATCCTGTCCACCCACTCTCAGCCAACAGAGGGTTCTTTTAGGCTGACAGTGGGCATCCCATGGGGACATGCCTGGTCACGTCTGACCCAAACATACCTCTTGTAAGTCAGCCCACTTGTCCTTCAGCAACTCATAGATGTCCTTGGGCAGGAAGTTTGCTGGGGGAGAGCAGGAAGGGGTGCCGTGCTCACTACTGTGGCCCAGAGTGAGGTGCCACGGGAGGGAGACGGGGGCCCGGGCATCTGGGGCGAGAAGGAACAGCACCTCTGAGGTGGCCCCACACCCACCCATACAGGCTTCAGCTGCCCAGACCCTCAACTCACTCTTGACAGAGATGTGCTTGACCACCACCGCCTGGCTGTCTGGAACAGGCGCCAGCCATATGAGGCACTGGTCCCGAGCTGGGTTGAAGGAGGTTTTGACTGTTTTGCATAGAACATTGTGCAGTTTCTCTTCTTGAGGGCTCTCTGCCTGTCGTGGGAGACCACAGGTGAGCAATCTGCCTGATTACTCAGGGGTCGGACAACAGCCTAAATTCATGGGCGCTCAGGCCTGCCAGGAGTCAAGAATTCTGTGTTCCCCAGCCCTCGCCCTGTACATCTTGTCTACAGCGGGGGCTAGTTCCTTCCATTGCGGACCCCGTTTTCTCCCTCCAAGGTCTGTAAAGGACGAGCTGGAGGAAGTGCTCAGCAATCTCCCTGACAATGCAGGTCGGGAGACTTGTGCTCTGTGATCCTGTTGCATGCCAGCCTTTGCTGCCCTGTCCACAGACCTCAGCAGGAACGGCCACAACTCTCAGCATAGGGTGACCTGTTTCCAAGAGTGCCCTTCCCTGACTGAGACTAACAGGCAGCCAGGAGCGTGGCCAGGAAAAACAAGGTTGTTTGTCAACAGGGCTAGGTGGCGTGCCCACAGGGCTCTCACTGAGCTTTCTCTGACCGATTCTGGACTAGGATGATGAGGACTTTTGCTATGACTTACTTCAGGATGCCCACAAACCTCCTGTGAGTTTTTAGCTGAAATTTCCTCGGGTTTAACTTCCCACCCTGACACCAAGAAGGGATCCAGAACTTTCTCTCCACCTTTCTTTTCCAGTAAAGGAGAGCAAACATGCCTCATAACCTATCAAGTTTGAGCCAAAAGAGTGTCTGAGGCAAGGCTGACCCCAGAAAATTCCAGCAAAATGAAGAAAAGCAAACAACAAAGGCAACATTAACAAGGGTTCGCTTTTCCAAGAGGTGGCTGCAAAAACAGACACGCAACAGGAGGGGGCAGCATTGAGCTACCCATCGCCTGCACTCCAGGGCTCGCAACTAGTTCCTTGCCTGGTGAATCCTACAACCCTGCACCTGCAGAAATGGGGCCAGAGACAGGCTGCGGCCCACCCTACCCACTTCATACGTGTGTCCTCCCAGCCACGTGTGTGTGCGTGCACACAATTTACAGAGTGTAAGAACAATGATCCGTAGTAAGCCCCTACTTGAAAATACCAGCAAAAAAAGCATCTGCTGTCACATCATCTCGGCCACACATAACCCCACTTTCATCTTGTCATCATCACGCCACTGCCAGTCCCTTTCTTCTGAGGAAACTTCTGGGTGAACTATAATAGCCAACCTTCGTGTTGGCACTAAGTATGTTAAAGGCGGCACTAGGGACTCGCCTCAGGAGTACCACACCAGGCCTGCTCTAACCCCGTCCACCCCACACTCCACAGATTGAAGGGATAGCTTCCCCAAGCTCTTCTTCCTAGGGTGCTGTCTGAGAGGCCGACACCCGAAACCAGAGGCTCTCGGGATGGAAGGAGTATAGCGGGCCACGCCCCTCGTCACGTGAAGCCTCTGAAATCCATGGAGATCAGCATGCCAAAGTCACAGTCGGCCCGCCCCCTGGCTATAGTGAACGCCAGGAGATGGAGTGCTCTTTCTGGTCCTGTGGGTGACCCTGGAGCCAGACCTCACCTTGTCACCCCCATGGGTGGGAAGGGGTAGAAACAGTAAAGTTCAACTGAGCACCTCTGGTCCCTCTAGCAGCAACCCCTCGCTCCCCTTACCGCCCTGGGAGCTGCCTCTGGGATAGGATAGGGGATACTCACACAGAGGCTGGTCTTGGTGAGGTTCAGGATGAGCATCGTCTCATCTGGTTCTATTGGTGCCTCACATATGAACTGTAAGAAACCACTGGTCAGGGACCAGACTCTTTCCCTTCCCAAGCCCTCCCCTGAAGCCAGAGGAAACTGTAAGGAAGGTCACTGGCTACCCAGGGAGGGAAAGGGATGAAGGGCCCTCTGCTCCTGTGTCCCCACAAAGATCCCTTCCTGGAACCCAAGCCCTCACTCCATGAACCCCCATGCCATCACTCACAAGAGCTGAAGGGGACGAAGGGGGGCTGGAGCCCTGAGGGATGGTGGGAGTCAGCTTTGGGCTAGAGCTGGAGGATCCTCCAATGGTCAGCGTGGCTGTGGGGGCAGTGGTCCCAGGAAAGGCTGTTTCCTTGCTGGTGGTTGATTTACCCCCATCAACTGCAGCGGAAGTGGCTGGGGAGACAAAGGTGTGGGAAGAGATGGGTGGTGGGCGGGATTGAAACCGACAGTAGGTTATACCTGTTTTCTCTGCTCTTCTGTCTTCTCCCCACTGAGACAACACTCTGGGAAGAAAATAGAATGGAGGAAGTGGGCTCTAGTGATAGGTGACAGGTGAGGTCAGGCAAAGGGAGCCGTGATGATGGTGGTAATAATGACAGGAACAACAGCCACCACGAGCAGCCACCAGGAGCGGTCGGTGCCTCAGAGTCACGTGGTGACAAGTAGCAAAGAAGGGCTTTGAATCCAACTCAGAACCCTGTCATCTTCTAGAGCCGGTACCCAGTCACCTTCCGGTCAGTTCCTACTCATGGCAACCCCATGTGTGTAAGAGAAGAACTCTCCTCCGGCAGGTGTTCAGTGATGGTTTTTTTGGAAATGAAATCTCTAGACCTTCCTTTGGAGGCACCTCTGTATGGACACCAGCCTCCAACCTTTTGGTTAGCAGCCGAGCATGCACATTTGTGTATGTGAAGGTGGCATGGAAAGGGAGGGCAAGGGGCAAACATGCCCCCTGCCATAGGAGGAAATAGTGGGGGCTGTCTTTAAGAGGCTGGCTTGTGACGGGTGAAGGGATACCAGGAAGAGAGGACACTGGACAGAGAAGAAGGGTAACTGCTAGACCTCCCACCTCCAAGTTCTGAGTGGCCGTGATGTCAGCTGAACGCCAAGGACTTAGTCCCAGCTGGAGGAAGAGGCGACTAAGAGTCAGTTCTGTCCATGGTGAGTGGGCCACCCCACAAGGTAGAGACTGCTGCCCTGTCCACTTCAGGATGCATCAAATGTCTAGGGAGCGCCTCAAGTTCCAGCCAGAAATTCTGACTCAAAGATCTGATCAGGTAGCTACCTAGACTCATGATTTAGTGTAAGTTTCTATGTTAATTTCCTGGGTTAAGACCTCACTTTAAAAAGGGAAATGGAAGGGGACCCAGAAGATCAGGGTGTGGCTCCTAGAGTGAATCCTGTTCTGAGTTCTGAGTATGCCCTGCATGTGTCGTGTGCACTGTCGGAACACCCAGTCAGCAAGGTAAGTATGAGCTGACTTGGGCTTACTTACTCTGCAGCGAGCTGTGTTTACCCTGCTTACTGGGGACTCTCTCCGGTTGTGTGTGTGTGTTCTAGATCACGAGATGAAACACAAATATACTCCTTATTGTGAGTTGCTGTCCAATTCGTTTGAGAAATGTTGTTTCAGAGCTCCCCCACTGCGGGCAGAATTCTCGCCTCCTGTGGGAAACCTGCGTTCGATTCCTGGCTACTGTACCTGTGAGATGTCCCTGGAGGCTGTGTGGTGCTGTGGTGCTGAAAAGGTTTTAGCTGAGCTGCCTGATGAAAATGGACTAGGAAAAGGGGCCTAGCAATTGCTGTCTATAAATCAGCCAATGAAAACCTCATGCATCACATGGGTGCAGTCCTTAACCAATCATAGAGAGGGTACAGGACCCCAAAGTGTTTTATTCCATGATACCGGGGGTGGCTGGACAGCAGCTAGCAACAAAAGAATACCACAAGCACCTATAGAGTCTTCTTTCCACAGACTGGTTTATGTACTCAACTCGGCAAGGCCATCAAGCCCCTAAGAGCATGTGCTGTGTGGGCTTCTGCTCCTCAAGGAAATGGGAAGGTGAGGCCTAGCCACAGTGTTTACCCTCATCATCAATCTCTTCCTTTCAGTAGAGCAACTGCAGTAAACATGAGCTTTCAAAAGTTCCTTCATGTCTGGCTCAGAAACCAAAAAGAAAAGCATGACTTACCTGGTGTGGCAAATGTCTCCTGAGTTCTGAAGGTGGGACTGGGCTTAGGGCCTGGAGTCGTTGTAGGCTGTTCTTCAGGAGAGCCCCCTGTGGGCTGTGGAGTAGTGCCCCCAGGACCTGGTGTGATTCCTGAGGTGGTAACCTGACTTGGAGATAGAGAGGTCGTCTGAACGGTTTCACCCTGGGTCACAGAGGTTGTGGTCATGCTCTGTTTACCTGTGTCCCCAGGTTCATCTGTGGTTTTGACTTTGTTCAGGATGTTTGTGATTTCTGTCGTAGGTAATTGTGTAGAGTCATCTGAATCTTTTGGCTTTGTTGAATGATCCGTAGTTACAGAAGTGCTCTCTGAAGCTGGAGTTACCTTTGGGTCACTGTACCCGATGTCTGGAGCCTGACTGGCATCTTTAGTCCCTTTTGGATCACTGCGCCCGGCGTCTGGAGTAGCTTTCGGGTCACCGTGCCCAGCATCTGGAGTAGTTTTCGGGTCACCGTGCCCGGCGTCTGGAGTAGTTTTCGGGTCACCGTGCC